CATATCTTCAGAAGCTTAAGAGTGTCGAGATGATCCTGCATGAGAGTGTGGTACTTGTGTACGACTATGACTTCATCAAATTCTCTCTCAAACCCACGAACAAGGGCATTCTCTCATTCGCTTCCGGACACATACACAGATACAGATGACCTCTCGACAATTCGCGTTTTTGCTCGCTTACCGCTGCACAGCAAAAACGCATACAGAAAAAGTTCATGTTATAAAATTGAAGTAAAAATATTAATACAATCAGCGGCGTGACAGCTCATGAACAGAACAAACACACAATTGGGAAAAATTTTATTAAATAAACCATTTTCTATTTCGAAGGAAGAGCAATATCGAATGTTTAGTTATCACTGATTTCAAAGTTTCCATTTTTCAAATTTCTCATAAATACAGGCGCAGTCGCGAAAAGTTTTGGCAGACTTCCTCAACAATGACGACCCTGCTCTTTATAATTTATGGCCAGCCAACACAATGCTAAACTCCACACCCTGAAACTTAAGAAAATAAAAACGGCAGATGAATGTAAATCTTTAAACTGTGACTGATTCTTTTAAAAAATGTTGAAATCCACAGAAAAGAAAACCAGCTAGTAAAATTTTTTCCTGCAAATATATAACTGGAAAGTAAAAATTACCATTCTTAAGCTACGCGGCGGCCATCGCGACTAGCCCTCCTCAAACCAATTCCGGCGTGTTTCATACACCAAACACTGAAAATTACTATTTTGTGAGTATTGTCTGCACATAAATTAACTGCAAATAAATATAGTTTTATTGGATACAAAAACAGATGCATCAGAAATACTGAAAATAAAGGAAAGTTAAAATGAAAAATACACAATCTAGGCAACACGTGACACAAAAGAACTTAACACGTCTATGTCAAAAGATTTAAAGATATTCTCTGCACGTTAATAAGTCCCCAAATAAATCCGGACAAATATACATTGCTTTTGAAGGACTTTTCTCTTGATTACTTAAGCGATCTTAGGAAAAATATTCCAAAATATCTTCGCCAAGATTTCTTTAGTTTTTAAAATGAAAGGGCTCTCGAACTAACAATGAAAAACAAAATATGAGCAATGGAAAACAACCAAAAATTATCTAACTGCACGGTTTAAACGTCAGCATGGAATTATTTGAACTGGAATTGTCTCACAAAGAGAAAAATGGATAAGCTGCTATCCATATCGATGACAAGAAATGCGACGATTAACAAGAGCAAACACAGAATATTCATGAAAAACGAACTGCATGTAGTAACAGTAAGATTACCATTGGTACTCATTCAAACTGCCTCTCAAAAGATAACAGTTCTGATGATACCACAAAAAGTCAAACACTTTTTCTTTCCCTTCGCAAAAATGTCAATTTGGACAATAAAATGCCCGGATGAAAGCGCGAAATACTGGAATTTATGCC